CAAAGCTCCAGGACAAGACAGTACAGTGAATAACACCCTGTAATCGTGGGACTGCAAAATTGATGGGGCAGTGCTTTTCCCTGGCCTTGTGGGAAAAACGCTGCCCGCATGCTTTGGCACAGCCATTTGTGGAACTTGAAAGATCTAGGGGGCTCTCCATCTTACATGTCCGATGGCACGGATAGAGTAGCTTGATGGTTGGCTCGCTCATGAAGTTGGTTGATCGTGGGCCCAGGCCCTGCCTCTTGGAAGCTCGATCGCTTGTGTGCCTCCTTAATGCTGCTCGGACTCCAACGCAGATTCGTTTCAGGGGAACCTTGTTCGAAACATCCTTGTACCAGAGCTGGCTGAGGAACTGCAGCACCCGGCTTGGGTCACATTTTCGTGCAAGTCTGACTCGGAAGTCCATTCCGGCGACACCATCGCAGACTGTGTTGCTGCAGTTGGCGCTTGTGACTGGGTTGTTGGAGCCTTGGAAAAATCCACTTTGCATTAGAGATCATGAGAGCCTCTTCAAACCCGCACTTGACTTAGCATCCCACACTATGGCGCCCTGATTGCCATCCAGTCCACCTCTAACATTAATGCTACCACGTGGCTCTAAGTGGGCTGGCGGAACCAGCTCCTTTGCTTCAAATGGGGGGGGGATGGAGGGGGTGGGCTCTGGGAGTCTGCTCTAAGTAACGACCAGAGCTTGAAGCCTGACAAGCAGGCCTCCCATGGAGTTCCCCCAAGTTCCTGGGGCAGAGTCTCCGACCAAACACCAATCCTGGGGCCTCAGCGGATTACTCAGTAGCCGAAGGAGGATTGTCGTCTCTTTTGGGTTCCTTTTTGCATCATAGCATAAAACTAGAGGCGTTTAGCACGAACGAAGCTGCATCGTGTTTTGAACACACCATACGAAACTTGAAAACTGAAGGGGCGACCATCCCAGGAGCTGGGGTAAATTGCACCCACCCCAACTTCGTGTCTGGCTTGGTGCGCCGCTGCCGTGAAGTGCTTCCGGCCGCGAAGAGACGCTCTGCCGTGCATGAGAATCCCTGTTTATAGTCCAAAAAACTCTCGGATCTGACTGGGCTTGTATGTTTTGTATGTTGTAGTGAGGTAAGATGAGGCAAGATGAGGTAAGGAGTGATGTTCACGCGAACACGCTCGCAGCAGCAAGACATGCTTCAAGTCCCAGGCGTGGTCGTGTACCCCAACTCGGGCGAGGTATGGTCTCTTGGGCTTGTGTTACGGTCCCTACCCAAAAGGTGTCAAGGTTTCAATGGATGGTTGGATGTGGGTCTTGGCATGTTTTTGGACAGCCGGTATGCCTTGCACTGATTCGCATTCCACGCTGCCGCTGTAGGCTGCATCTGCGCATTGCAGCCATTGCATGCTCTTGAACCTGTCCAAAATCTTGCCATCCTGCAATCCCAGGAATGGAACGACCCATACCTGGGAGACTTGCACTGCCACAGCTGATGAGCAGTGTCTCTACAGAATCAGTCCACCTGATTGTGATTTGGACCGGGAGTCACGTATTCACGCATTCACATGTCAAAGATGGAAGCACCAGTCCTTCATTCCCTGAGAGTGAGGTTTGTGGAAATGGCGCGCGAGTGGCTCAAGCTGGGCGCCAATTGCACCGGTGCGTTGTTTAGTTTACTCTACTGGGCCTGTCTAGGAGAGGTTAGTAAGGTCCATCCATATGCAAGCACTGGAATCCAGGTATTGGAGGCTGCTGTCGCACTGGGCCGGCCACCATTGCGGCGCTCAAAAGAGGGCTGGCCCAGTGAGCGAGGACCTGGTAGTTTGTGCGTGGTGCCATTTGAAAGGTGCAGGAATTGAGCGCAAAGTCCTTCTTCAGACGTGTACGGGCCAGCGAGGCACGGACATTGTATTGTATAGCAAAGCGCTGAACACAGAAGGACTTTATAGTAAAGTTCAGCAGCTCTCTGCAACAGGGCTCACATCCTTTTTACATGCCCTCGGAGCATGCAGCTCCAGCAGCTGCAGCGTGTATCATACAATCCCGGGACTGATGAGCGGTGCTTGAAAAGGTCCGTCTAGAAGACCTCAAGGAAGTGCTGCACGCATTGCTATCCATGAGCCCAACCGCACGATGGCACAGTGCTGGAATCCTCGTTTGGCACACTCATTGCCAGGATCGTCAGAGCCAAGCGAAGAGCCGGCTAGGGAGCACAGGAAATGGGGGAAGGAATCCTATGCAATTTCGGATGAACAGAGTTCTAACCATAGATCAGGTTTGCATCAGTAGCTGCGACGGCACATGGATTCCATCCCTTCTGATTGAGAGCCAGACCGCCACTTGCAGATGGTTTGGAAACAGAATTGCGCGGGTTTGTGGGAGGGTGTATCTGAGAGTTACATTCATTTCAAGGGCTTGCGCTGCTGGAGACAGCTGTCTTTTTGAGATAGTTTTTTGGGGGCTCGTGGTGCTCATGCTCTGATTGGGTCAGAGGACTCCTGCGCTGCCTTTGAATATTGGTAGAAGACGGCCGTCGTTCTGCCATCGAGCGTTGCAGAAGGGAGACGTGCGGCATGCACGTGGCTTGCTGCAAAGCGGAGAGGGGATTACTGCAAAAGCATGCTGTTACGAAGGTAAGGTGCAATCATGCGGGAAACCTAGGCCAATGCTGCCTTGTCCTCAATGTTTCGTGTGGCTCAGAAAAGCGTTATTGAGTCCTGCGCCCCGCAAAATTGGCACGGCAATCCAGGCTCCTTTGCTGCAATGATTTTCTGCAGGTATGGGAGCAGGAACTGCCAAGGCGTTCCATTCTAGTCACATTGAGAAAATGCCGTTGTGCTCTTTGTGATGTCTGTCCGCCTTGAGTAGCACCCTGGCAACAAATGATGAAGCGGTTCGCGCAGACCAAAACCTGCCAGGACCTGCAAAGAAGCCAAGAGCCAGTTCCAGCTGGAGGTGGCTGCTCACAAGGCGGATCGTCCGTGCACAGCATACTTCTGCCAGAGAAGGCTCTTGCCGGTAGCCCAACACAGCATGATAGTCCTGAAGCCTGTCCCCAAGCCGGTCCTGAAACACTCATGTGAGGGGCGTGAGCCGCTGTGGCAGCATGGGGAGCTGGGGCCAGCGTCTTGGGAAAGCACGGAACCTTTCGAACTTAACATGAAGGATGCTGGTTAAATGGTCTACGTACAGCGCGCAGCTATTTTCACACAAGGCAAAAGAATAGAGCCATGGGCCGTGAAAGCAAAGGGACGGGCTGATCTGATTATGCTTAGCTTGTAACTTGCTGCAGCAAAGCTTGTGCAGCGTAGCTCTTGAGGCTGTAAAGGTAGAGGTTCCCACACAGCAATCTGTCGGCTGAGGCAACTCCTACGGGGGCGGCGCTTATGCCGCAGCAGCCTGGCCCTCTGCAACTCGCGTGTTTTGCAAGCACGCGTGTCTGTCCTGTAGGCTGTGCAATCAAAGCATGTAGAAGCAGTTGTGACGAGCTAGCCACGTATGACACAGGAACTCAGTTTCATAAGTTGCGTCAAGATCTGGCATTGAAAGTCTCGAATAGAAAGTCTCATCCTGAGGCTCTTCCCTATGCGTCTGAGACTCAGGGTGTTTCTCGAGTGTGTGACGTTTCCTGTCAAGAGGTCTGCCTACGGGAGAACTAATCAAAGAGGATGTCAGCATGCTTGGGCCAACTTGGACTTTAGGATACTTTAGGGCTTGAGGTTTGAGGATGCAGGCTGGACTCTTGTTCTGGGACTTTTGCCACGCATGCGCTGCAAGCTCACAGCAGAGGAGGCGTGCTCAAACAATCGGCAATCAATGCCTCCCAAATGCACGAACTGTCCTTCAGTGTTGTAAGCATTTGTTTTGCTTCAGGTCCAGCAATGGCTATGGCCTCCAGGGCCTTAGTATTCGGGAAGCCTGCGAGGCTGCAGGCGCAATGTGAGTTTTTTGAAAGTCTCAATCTCAAAAGCTGAAGACTTGCATCTTCCTGACAGCAAGTTTCGATGGTTCTCCATTCCTTGTGACTGAAATCATCCTGTCAGGGCGTGGGGACGGCAGCGGCCACTGCGTGGATGACAGCGAGATCTCTGTCCTGGGTCCGGCCCGGCAGCCTACATCTTGGACTTTCGTGGACTTTCGTTTTATGGTCTCCAGAATCACATGTCTTCCCCATCCAACGATGTTCCAGCCTTCAAAAGCTTCCTGAAATCAATGGCCTTAATCTTGCCCTCTACATGCTTTTTTATTGAATCTGCCTTGATTTGGAGGCATTCAGCTTTCGGTTAGTTCCTACTAGCACAACATTGGGCGAGGAAAGTGTCAGAGTCGATTGGTAGTGGCCTAGTGGCCTAGTTTTGAATTTCTCATTCCTCAGAATCATCTTTGGAATGCCCATGTCAAGGACGCTCGGGTTTGAAGCATGCGTATGGATTTTGTACTTTTGCGTTTGCATGCTGCATCCCAGTCAAAGCAAGACCTACTCACTGGCCTCAGCTGCCAGGAATGAGGGATGTGAGGCATATATTCCACCACTTGCAGCATGAGTAATGAGACGCGAGATGTAGATGGCAGAGACGCTTCAGTATGAGGACGACCGGCCCATACCGCCGAAGAAGATCCATTCCTTCGACGAAGTGCGGGAGCCGGCAGCCCAGAATTGGCTAACAGTTCTCAACAGATACTCATAGCTGAGGCAGAGGCAATGAGCTGCAGGCGGCAGAGAGTTCTGTTTGAAGTTGTAGGCACACGGCCAGCGCCATCACAACCACAGCAAGCAACAGGCCCAAGAACCATTGCTCCCAAAAACAATTTTCCGCTGCTACTCACAGATGTGAGCATGCCAGGGCTTTGGAGAATGAACTTGGAAAGCACAGGCAGTTGAAAGTGCTTGGCCCTATTGTTGAGAAAAGGATGGAAAGGGGGGGATGGCAGTCCTATCGTCCAGCAAGACGAAGGTTTGGTGTGTGACTTCTCAAAAAGCCGGACGTTGCAGACTGATCGAAACACTCAGCACGGGATTTCTGCTCAGCACATCAAATGGGCGAGGTTTCCTCGCGAGATCCAGGAGCAGTTCAGGTGGGCTTTATGACAGTCTGGTGTAGCACTGATTACTCCTTGTAAGGGACCTTGGCTGACAGACTACCGAGACATACTCGCAGACACTTCTCATCCTCAGCGCAGCGCCTAAATCAACTCGACAGGCGAGCCGGCTTCCCTGGGCCTTCCCAGATTCAGGCCAGCAGATTGCCGTGGCGTTGCCTGGTTCTATATATACGACTTTGCATGCAGAACTGGCTTCATCGTCTCCGTGGTTTTCAAAAGCTGTCGTTCTGCCCTGCGACGCATAGACGGGCAGAGTATCTACTCATCGAGCTTCCGTTTAAGCTGGGCTTCAAGGCGCCAAGGACGCAGTTCGCAGACCCGCTGCTGCCACACAACTACTACAACATACTATGACTATTGCTGCTGATGATGATGGTCGTGATGATGCCAGTGATGCCAAGATCATAAGTCTCATATCATCATCGTCATCATCACAATCATGGTCAAACCGTCATGGTTTTGCTGACTGTGAACCTCGATGCGAGGCTTACACCTGGCCGCTGGCCCTGGAGGGCAAGGAGCTGTTTGTGTCCCTACATGCCTTCACGAGGTAATTGCTTCAAATCCTTGCGAGTGAGGCTCTAAGTTGTTAATCTTCTCGTGGCTGTGCAGGATGTCATTGGCATCGCAGCCACAGGCCAAAGCAGCATTATAGTTGAGCGACTGGTAAGGATATTTGGAGAGATGCTGCAACGACATTGTCGGGAATGTAGCAGTTTTGTCTTTGGGGTATTCCACATTACATTCCGGCAGGTTTTGATCACGTAGAGATGACAGGGCGAAGTGGGGCTCCCGCCTTTTCCTTCATTAGCCCCTCGCCCTGCTGGCCAGGTAGCGGCAAGACGCTAGCATTCCTTCTGCCGGCGTTTTGCGAAATGCAGCTTGCCTGCTGATTTGCTGCGTTGGCGACAGGAAGTAGTTTCTGTTCCATAGCTCATGTGTGGAAACGCCATTTTTTAATGAGGAAGTCCTAAGCTGAATTGATTGCCGTACCGCCGCCTGTCACCCTGATTGGCAGCCTTCCCGTTGCCTCTCGGGGCATGGCTTGGGTTGCTTTCCATGGCACATGGCACTCAGCATTTGTTCTTGCTAAGCTTGTTGCTGCGGCACTGCTTGCATCTAAGGATTAGAAGAGGACACAACCCTGATAGATACGGGCCGGGTCTGCTGGTCATGCGACTGCCTGAGCATCAAAGTTTCATTCAGAGCGGTCATATGAGTCTTCATATCAGGCTTATACGAGGAGACTACAGGTGTATCACGTATATTGGAGAACGAAGAAATTTTCATAATGTGGAGCAAGTGGTTGACTCAAAGCTTTGGCTAATTGGCTTGTCTGGAGACAGAGCAGCATCTATGGCTGATGGTTTCACCTCGGGCTTTCCATGCCTGTTTAGATGCCAGCGGAGATGTGGTTGTTTGGAACGAACGTAGCTCACGTCTTCGGAGTTCGCAACGTGTTCTTGTATCGCTGAAGCATTTAAGAAGAAGCGTGCAGCTGACTTGCACTGAGGTCTCCAACGCGAGAGCTGGCGCAGCAGACAGAGCAGGAGGTGAATCCCGCAGCTGCACCAGGGTACCTGAAGTTCAGAGTTTCCTTGCACACCAATACGAGACGAGCAGAGCACCAGTGCCTCAGAATGCTTCAGATTCACTTGTCACCGAACAGGCCGAGCGCTTTGGCGCCTGCATCGGCTTCAACGTCGCAGGAAGCCCTGGTCATGAAGAGTTTGGAGGATGTGAAGCTTAACCAAGAGCTTCCGCGTTGAAAGGTTTCGAGTTGCAAGCCTGCATTGTGCTGCAGGTGATGTAGCTAGTCTCCGGGAAAGAAGGGGAAACAATCGGCGTGTGACATCCCCTATCCGTATGGCAAAGCTGGAGCTGAGGTAGCCATGTACGGCGGCGCGCCCAAACAGGACCAGATCAGGAAGCCTTGACCTGAGCGCAGGATTCCCATGTATGAATATGTATGGGAAATACTCATTCTCTGCGTGGCCGTCCGTGCATAGTTTCCCACAAGGTGAAGACATAGGTTGTTTTCAGGGAAGTGGAAATTGGTTGGCACGCCACTGTCACAGGGAGGCCGGACTTCTGTTGCCTCTTGTGCCACAAGCTGTTTACAGTTTTGATTTTGCTCCGCACCAGAAGTCAGGTATCGCTACGGAGTCCACTCCATTGTGGCGTGAGATCCTCAGAAAGTATAGGTCATCTAATCTGCAAAGTAGATACATGTGTCCTGCTACTCCAGACCGAGAAGCTCTATGAGTTGAGAGGTTGATTTCTCTTGTAGCTTCAGGATTTCTCTTGACTTGTGAAGTGTCTCTCCAAGTGAGAACAGCACTCTCTCTTGGAGTACTTTCTGATGCAGACTCCACATATTCTCTCAAAAGACGAAAGGTGAGTACGCACACATGTTGCAAGCAACATTAATTCAGCAATCCAATGTGCTTGTTGCATCTGTGCTTTTACATACTCTTTGATTTACGGGTCACAGCCTATCTAGACATCATGGAATGAAAAGAAATCATCACGCCAAATTCGTAGTCACTCCGAACATTGCTCATTCCTGAAGCTAGATCTAATCAAAATCGAAGCAATGATCATTGAAGCACACTTTTTTGGCTTTGTTTCTTTTCACGGGCCACCGAGAAACATTTGCTTGACCTTGGCTCCCAAGATGTTCGAATCAATCAGAAAGGCTCGAATCCAGGATGTTCTTTTTGACTGAGCCACGCAGCGCAGGGAACAGACCACGTTAGACTGGGCTTCCCCATCCCGGTGTCCTTGTCAAAAACGGAGAGCCACGGCGCCATCTTGTTTCAAACACCGGCGTGCCTGATCTTTTCAAGACCCCCCCCCCTCAACAAGCTTCTTCCTCAAATTTTGCAAATGGCGTGTGGTCAGAGTTGTGCAAATGGGGGCCTGCGCCCCTGCCAACCCTGCGCAGCTCTTAGGGAATGGCATGTTTCAAGCCTAGCCTTACATGAGTTTGATAAGCTTCCCAATAAATGTGTCCTTTGTAATCCTGCATATTTGCAACATGTGCAGCCAGCAAACAGAATGTCAAATTCGTGCTTCAAGTTGGTTTGAGTTGTTTCTATTCCCTGGTACTTGGTTTTGTTTGTGCTTGTGTTATACCATTTGATTCTGGAGGATGGCGTGGAGTTGAGGTGTTTGCTGGTATTATGACCTTGTGAGCTTCGTAGTGTTGAGTTTGATTACGTGTTTTCTTTGGTTTCAGCTCTTTTCCCAGGAACTGGTCAGCAGCAATGCCATGATTTCCTTGCGCTTCCTTGAAGGTCATTTGTCCACTTTTCAATACAACGCGGACCAACACACATATCCTTCTTAAAGCCTGGTTTCAGAATGCTCAACAGCATTCAACAGCGCAACAGTTCCATAGCCTCATTCCAAGCATGTCTTGTTATCACCCAGGATGATAAGCTTGAAGCTATTCATTGTGTCGTTAGACGAGACCGCATGCCAGATGGACCCCGTAGTAAACACCACTTTGGCGCCGGGTACAGAGTTCCAGTCAGTGACGTGGACATGCCAGTTGTCCGGGGCGGCTGAACGACTTCCTGGAGGGCGGGCAGGTGCGACTTGATGGTGCCCGGGATCTCAGATTGATCAAAGCAGGTCCCGACTAGGTTTGCCATGGATGCTTTGTGCTCAGCATCCGCTTGTTCTTAGTTGTGATATCCGGGACGCTCCTGCCCATCATTTCGGCCGCCTTTACACGTATCCGCTTGGGTGCAAGCAGCTTCGCATTTGCTTGTCAGTGCAGAAAGTGTGCTGTGTCACCTTTACCGTCCCTTATCTTGAGGTTATGTGCCTCGTCCTGGATGAGGCCGACCGAATGTTGGACATGGGTCGGGGACCTGGAAGCGGATGCGGGAAGATGCTGGCTGAATGGGGTCCGGCGAGCTATGTTGCTGCAGACATTTGAGACAGGAAGCAGTATCAACCAGCCTAGGCTAGCTCGTGCTGTCATAGAGATTTACTCACCCACAAGATTCCAAGAGGGCAGGATTCGCAACGCAACGGTGGTGCATACTTGTTCGGCCATGGAGAAGAGCAAGAATGTGTCAAAAGACCTGACATGTATTTGGAGGCATTTACTTGCAAGCTTCAAGCAAAGCAGCTTGCTCCCGCTCAGGCTTTGAGCCCCAGATTAGAAAGATCTTGGCGAGGACCATGAAGCGACGTTGCCTGCCTTGCTTGTCATGATCAAGGCAGCATCTCAACACAAGGTGTGTTGCGAAAGCTACTCTAACAGACGTGCTGGAAGTACTGCAACAGTCAAAGGTGTAAGGCAAGTGCATTCTACTGCAGTTCCGCAAGTTAATGTGAGAAGGCGAGCAGCATTTGAGGGCATTTTGGATTCAATTTTCGGCTTGTCACTGTCCAGCAACGGATAAGATCTTCTTGCAAGGATTCCGCGAAACCGCCACACCATGTTCTTTACTGCGACATGGCCGCGGGAGGCTTTGCTGGCCCTCTTTGAGTGCCAACGTCCCTGCTAGTGCTTTTCCTGGCCAGGTGAGAAAGCTTGCCGCAGACATCTTGTACCATCCATTCAAGGCCTGGGAGTGATTGCGATCTCGCTCAACTTCAAGCCCGACAGCCTGACCACACGTACAAGGAACATCTTTCATATCTTGTACTATTTCTAGTTTAGATGAGTAAGCAGACCGAAGGCAATGGGCTGTGCTGCTAACCGATGCAGGTCATGATCGGCAATCGTGATGAGCTGAAGGGCAATCAGGAGACTCGTTCTCTTCGTGCCACTTCCAACATGCAGGTTTTGTTGGGGGGTCCTACACCTCCCCGCCGGAAGGATTGCAGCCATCGGCTAAGATGGCTAAAATGCTACAACTTGATGTCACATGACACCATTTTATTCCACACTTCTCCTTTTCAGCCACACCATTGCGAGGCCCTTTATGCCAGGTCAGACTCCTGCAATTCAGCTGTGTGTATAGAGGCTCTTAAGTCATAGCTGTCATCCGAAAGCCATTTCGTAACATCAACTGGCGTTCTTGGATATTATTGGGTCCCCAATTCCAGCCAACTTTAAAGGCTTCATGTGAGACTCATGACTGTCAGCACATGAAATTGGAATTCTCACAGCCTGACAGAAACTGGATTGAAACTCGCCCCCAAGGCCTACACGTACCCAATCAAGCCAGCTAAAATCGGAGATTGTAGAGCTGAAGTGACAGCGTGTAACCCACTGTAACAGTGTGCATCCCAGAGTCCAAGCCAGCCACCAGCTCCTTAGTTGAAGGTCTTGTAAGCAGGGGTGGTTGTAAGAATCCAATCACATCCAGTCCATCTGCAGGACATCATCCAGCAGGTCAAGGTTGTCGATGGGTACAGCAAGGACTATGTGACTTCTGTACTATTTGGTTGCTTTCGGCGTTCTGTCCTTGCAGAAGAATATTATGGCATCTCTCTGAGCAGCAAAGAGATGTCAAGAGTTGATGCGTAAGATTAGGTAAGGTGTGCTGGTGCAGGAAAGAGCAATTGTGGACCTCCTCAATGAAGTCGCTTCCTCGGCTTTGTGGATCCTTGAGTGAGCTCCTCTATTAAATAGCAAGATGGGCTCACACGTTTATTTGCGATGGAGTAAGCTGGATTCCCTTTGTGTAGACTGTAGAGCTGCTGAGAGAGCATGAAATCTGCGCATGAGGCGGGTCTTCTGGACCGGTACAGCAGCGGCAAGGCCTCCCTTCAGGGCTGAAGCCGAGCCGAGAAGGATGAGTCTTTCACTTCTCTTGTTTGTGGCGAGGGGCACCCGCAGACCTGAGCCAATCCCAAATAGGTACCAGAACAGTTTCTGAGTCCTGAGCCGCAGGCTTTGGTTTTCGCCGGTACGAAGAGGGAGTGCGAGAGGCCACTAGCATGCAGAGCCCATTTTGGTCATGCCTTTGCAAGAGCATGATTCAGCACAAACTGTTTTGAAACCTCTCTGCAGCGACATAAGACACATTCGCTTTCTCATTTGCCCTTGCAGCTCAAGCCTTGCGACTTGGAATGCGACATATTCATGGATACTCTGATTTACGCTTAGCCTCTCGACACTGCAGGTTATCGAACAACCTCTACAGAGCTGGAGTTCCGTGAACCTGGCTGTTTAGATGTGTGCAAGTGGCAAGTCTTAACCGTTTCGTGTCTTCCGCACCTGGATGTCCTTTCGGCCAGGTGTTCCTCAATTCATGGCGACAAGGAGCCTCCCAGTGACAGAGCACGGGATTGATGAACTTGGATCCCATATTACAGCTGTATAGTGATATGAAGTGCCAAGAAAAAGTCATGGGACGCAAACATTAGTTGTTGTTTTTTCCCAGAAGCAATGTGATAAATCATGAAAAACGTGAAGCATGGTGAACAATCAATGAGCAATCTGCAAACATAGTGAACAATCTTGAAAATCATGAACACTCACCAAACATGGTCAAACATCATGAAACCAATGAAACTCATGGACCATTGTGAAAATGATGAACATTATGAAGATCATGAACAATCATGAAACACGTGAAAAGATGAAAGTTATGGCAAATCATGGAAACTGCTGAAAGACGATAAAAAGTGATGCATCATGATATACATGATGAAACTTTGTGCAATAAATCAAAAACATCATACATGAAGACTATGATGAACATCATGGAAAACGATGAAATGTTTTAAAATGACGAACAGTGGTCATGCATGGACGGCCTTGAACAAAAGGCTGGGGGCTTGGGGCGGGGCGCCCCATTTGCAAACAAACTGATCTGAGTAGCCCTCCCTGATGGTGATGACGCGGCGCTTCTTTGACACTGCAAGCGTGGGGGCGGGGGGCAGCCCCTCCCATGCGCAAACAACATGATTTGTATAAGCATTCCTCACTGCTAACATGTTGATGAAATGGTGCTCCTTTGTAACAGCAAGCAGGGATGGCCTTAAAAAAGGCGTGGGATTGGAAAGATATGGCAACTGCTGCAAGAGGACGGAACATATGAAAATGCCGAAAATCATGAAGAGTTCTGACACATGATGGAACAGGGCAAGTACTAAGCAGAAAGAAATAGACAAAGAGCAAAAAGCACCAATCGCAGATAGCAGCGATGGGGAAGCTGAGTGCAGTAAACGAGAACCAGGAAGCTGAAATAGAGAGCAATGAGCACTCGTGAGATTGCAGGCAGCAAGAAACAGAAAGCAAAAAGCTGACAGCAAAAAGTAAGAAGCAAGAAAGATAAGAAAGAGAAAGCAAAACACAGCAAGCAAGAAACAAGAAGCAACAGGCAGAAAGCTGCAAGCAGCAAACAAAAGTAGAAGGCAAAAAGCCAGAAGCGAAAAACATAAAGCACAAATCAGAAAGCTCGAGGCAACAAGCAGAAACGCAGAAAACAACAACAATTCCAAAAAACAAACAACAACATGCAAAAAACACATCCCCAAAGCTATGCTCCCCACATCAGCCTGGCGCATCTCTTGGGACCAGGGTGCTGGCTCAACCTTGCATGTTTGCAAGCCTGAAACGGTGCCTTTGTTAAGTCCTGACAGCAGGACGCGGGGTGATCCCAAACTTTGCTTTTAGAATCGGGCTTTGAAGGACCAGCGCCAGCGGGATGATGCGCTGAACGGCTTGAAGACCGGAAAGCTTAAGGCTGGGCACGCTGGTTGTGGTCATCAAGATACCTGTGGGACTATTAACTGTTCATGCATCATGCGATCTTGATGGTAAGTATCTTGTGCTTGTGTGACCTGTACAAGATAAGATGATTAGACCAGCTTTCCGCCCCCCAGTGAACCGCATATTTCCTGAAACGAACTGCAGCAAAAGGACACCTGCGAGCAGCCGACAATAGAGATCACGTTTTTTTGTCTATGGAGCTTTGGGAAGTGATGCTTTTTGTTTTCTGGCAGTTGATGGCACATCACTTGGAGGAATGCGCCAGGAAGCATCAAGGGCTGGCATATCTTGGGTCTAGAGCAGATAAGAACGGTGACCTGGATATGACATCCTGATGGGTAGTTGGCTTGGCCTCCGGAGCCATGAAAGGTCCTGGTAGCCACGGACGTGGCAGCGCGAGGGTTGGACATCAAGGGGGAGTGGGGCCCAGGATTTTGGAATTTGTGTGTGACATCTGTGGATTCCACTGCAGTCCACTGCCCATGAATATTGCAGCTGAAGTAGAAAACCGATTTTGAGACATTTGCAGAGCGCCGTTGCTCTTTAAAGGCCTGCTGCTGCTTTTAGGCTGCCAGGATTCAGGGCGGATGCAGTCCCCTCTGAGAGCAGTTCCTGGCAATAATCAACGTGTGCCAGTGCTTAAGGTTGGTTTGGTGGTCAACTACGATGCTGCAAACAACACAGAGGATTGAAGAGTGCAGTGATAGCCGCAAGTCTGACTGCTCACTTACTTGAATCTTGGCTGCTCGTTCTCAAACCTGTTGGGTCCCAGTTTGCAATTTTTGTGACGTGTTTCTGCGTCAAGTGGGTATAGAGTAAGCGGTGGGTGTGCAGTGAAGGACTACGTGCACCGTATTGGCCGCACCGGCCGTGCAGGCTGCAAGGGCTTCGCAGCGGCGCCCTGAGTTTTTTTTGCTGCCTGTGCAGTGAGTGACTGCATCCCTGGAAGCGGAAGCGTTTTTGCTCAGGTCACCTTCCTTGATAGAAGATCAGATGGCGGGAAAGCCAAGGGCATCATGGAGGTGGCATGCATTTTGCGACGGCTAAGCCTGCCACACTGCATCTAACCCTTTATGAAAAAGACTCTTGGAATCTCACCGACGCTTTGCTGGACTTGGTGCCAGGTGATGCAGCGCACCAATCAGCCTGTTCCTTCAGAGCTGCGAGATATGGTGCTCGCCCCAGTACAGCAATCCAAGGCATGGTATTCTGGACTCTCTCAACACGCTTCTTCTTTCTGCCTCTGCCACGCCGAAGTTATCTCTGAGTCATCTTGTGATTCTTGCTGGTAGCAATCTGCAGCACCTTTAACTTTCCATGTCTTGATTTGAACTCTCGAGGCCGGCTCTTCGCGAGAAGATCGCGGTGGGCGATGGGGCAGGCTTCTCAGTCAGATCGAAAGTGCCGGAGTAGTGGTGGCGCCATGGTTGAGGCCCTGGGAAGTCTGGGCATGGCATGTAAGCACAACAGGATGAGAATGCTGAAGTTATTCTGCTAGACATATGCAGCATTCAGCAAAGACAAGAAGTGTACCGAAAACATATCTGCAACTAAGCCAATGTGACCCTCCCCCTTGGCTCACAAAGGAGGACGCGGTGGAGGAGGGGGTGGCGGCGGTGGCCGCGGAGGCATGACCGAGGAGTGAAGTGGATGGTAGTGCTACGTATACGTGGTCATTTCTTGCGTGGGCATGGAAAGTGTAAACGTTCACAGCTAAAAGCCCTAAGTTGGTCAGGCGACAGCTGGAAGAGCGGCGGTGGTGGAGGCCAGGCAAATTGAAAAGCTCCGACATGGAGATGTTGATCTTTGATGCTCTTCTGTCCTCCTTCAAGCAACCTTCTTTTCAGAAGTCCTTTACGACGCAGAATCGTCAGGAGGCGGCTGGGGCTTTGCAGGGCACTCAGCAAAAGCATGGGCACAGGATCGCACGCTGGCAGTTTAATGGTAACACATTCTCGAGTGCCACTCTCTATGTAGCAGGACACACATCTTGCATGCTCAGGGAGACGGAGTTTTCTCAATTGCTTCAACTGAGGGGGGCGGCAGCCGTGGGCGCAGCCGTGCTCCTGCCATGCTTGTGCTCTGGAACAGATGTGCCAGGATGCGTTGTCAAGGTAAGGTTGCTTCTGAGGCTGTGAGCTGGCACCGTTTGCCACACTTCCGGATAGGAGTCATTTAGTTCAAGAAGTTCAAGAGGAAATACGAGAGCTGCGACATGTAAAAGCCGGTGAGTGGGATAGACAAGCTTGGAGCATAACAAGCTGCTGATGCTCACGCCGCTGATGCTGCTGCTGCTGCTGATGATGATGATGATGATGATGATGGTGATGGCGAATGTGCGAATCTTTCATGGATCCATAAAAGCCCGCACAGATGCTACGCGGAGGAAGAACCCTTCTTGGAAGGCCCTTCCATAGTTTCACACCTGGATCGCGACACTCGAATCCTGCGACTACCCAACGCGAAAGAAACCATGCAGCTCAAGAGACCCAATGATGACTTTGATCAGAGCCACGGTCCGCAGCTCGAAGCTGTCAACAACCGACAGAGTCCAAACACCCTGCTTCTGGTAAACACACCTTCCATAGAGTTCATACGTCCCTGCAGGTTCGTAAGTACCGGTGATCCTATAGAACCCTGAGTGCTTCAGTCCGCACCAATGTGAATTGCGAACAGGAAGCCCAAGACGGTGGTGAGCAGCAGTTTTGCCCTGCGGGAGCTTCCGTCAGGAAAGTTTCGCGTTGAGGGTTTCAAGCTTGTGGCTTCATATTGGAGCTGTAAGGGTGGCAGACGACATAACTTGCGCAGAACTTGGGTTGCTCCCGCCTTCCTGCCCGGGAAGTGCACTATTCTCAAATTTTGATTCCCATGAGTCTCAAAACGACTTGGAGAGTTTCTGGATGAAGCTTAACAGCCTTGCACATCAGCTCCAGCAAATGCAGACTGCAGAACAAGATCTTGTTTGGCATGTTGATCTCATTACACTTTTCTTTGATTAGGCACATCCAGAAGCTTTCCTTATTTCGAGGCAGGAAAAAGTCTGCCTGGCTGCTCTCTTGGGGAGCAATGCCACAATAGGACCTCGAGCGCCCAGGCTTGAGGCAGGCACAGGCTCCTGTTTTCCGACCCGAGTGGGAGCTCTTGGGACTCTGGGCACATCTAAGCTTCTGCTTTCGGGCGGCCTCAACGCCTCAACCTAAACTCCTTAAATGGGGTTATATAGGGAATCCAATAGGGAACTATTAAAAGGGGTTACTAGGGGGATACTAGCAGTTACTAGCATTCCCCTACCTTCACCCATGCTTCCTGGTGCTCGGGACCGCTGGCTTGCTCGCAGTCGCGGCCGCAACAGCCTGGCAACCAGACCCCTCCCAAGGAAGCGCGATGAACATGCGTTGCAACAAGTCGTGCATGAGGATGGCTGTCCGTGCAGGTTAGTGTTCTCATTGCTGATGATGCTGTCAGACTTCATGACCTGAGATCTGTACTCTTGAGTGAGATTCCGGAGAGTTGGACCCCATAGCACGTGAAGCACTGCCTACCTGCTTTTAGGGGCGGTGTTGTATTTGTTTTCTTATAATGGTTGGTTGCTCAAGCTCAGGCCATGCATGGGGAGAACGATTAGCTCTGAATCTGCTTTAGATTGAATGAGAAGACTTCCATGCGCGGGTGGCATGTGGCTCGAAGCTTCAACTTAATTAAGAGGTCGTCATTCAGCTTTTGAGCTCCAAAGCTGGTTCCAGTCGCCTGTGGGACATGAATCAAGATACTAATGGCCGCCTACACCTAAATGGCCAAGGAAAGCTTTTGGGGCGTTCCAGCTACATATCTGCGAAGACTTGCAAGGTAGCCACAAGGTGTTGCAGCCATGGCCTGCAAGAAATGGAGGATGGAAGCATCTGACGTGAGACTCCCAGCACTTAGCCGATCATTCCGTTGCTGGCCCCTGCCTGATGTCGGCTTCGCTAAACAAGGCAGCACGCAAGACGGGCTTGACGCTACAGATGCAGGGTCCCCGGACTTGTCTACCAGCTTTGTTGCTGTAGTTCTATAGTTGCCTTTACCTCATGTCCTCGCACATGAGACTGCCAGGATGTCATGATCCACTGAAAGTCAGAAGCAGTCCCCGCTGGGCTGTGGCAATTTTTTTCACAAACCCATTGCTTCAGGCAGATAAGGGCACGCGAATCTCTAAGGAGTCACCGCACGTCCACCAGGGGAGGAGAGCAAGCCGGAGGTCAAGAGGAGAGAAGGAGAAGCAGGACCACTAAGCGCTCTGGCAGACTGGGTCAGCACACCAGTCACCGGTGCAGCGTGCACAATTTGTTGGGTGAAAATCCATAACTGGAGCTGCGTGGACATGCATTTTTTGAATTGGCTGCGAGGCTTTCTAGAAAGAGAGTGAAATCAGAAAGTCTTTGGCTGGCCGAGAGAGTGAGGGTTTCCATTCACGAGATACGGAGGCGCTAATGCGAAAAGCAAAAGAAGTCTTGTTTTTGATTCGAAGAAAGTCCAGGAGGCCAGACGTCCAAACGAGCTGAAGCCTGGATGTTGCTGGCGATGCCATTCTTGGGCATCGCCTAACAAAGCAAGGCAACAGATCAACATAGGGCAGGATCTTTCAAGTAAGGTGATGGGGGCAGAACGCATTGCCCGGATCAAAGGTGCTCTGTGGTTTATCAGCAGCTCAGGCCGAGGCCGCTTCGTGGTTCCTTGGTTGAATGAGAACATCACCTCAGCACACCGTGACGGACATTTCCAATCTTCGAGTCTGACCGTGTGAAGCAACATGCTGACTTAGGCGCAATGGTTCTCCTCCTTGCCGTCACCTGCTGTTGGCTGGGGGAGCAAGGCTTCGCTGCACCTCCTGCCACGCGAATACAGACCGCGGCTGGTGTCGAGGCGACTTGGTTGGGTGCAGGTGAAAAACGCCTCAAAGCCAATTCCTTGTGAATCCAAATCATTGTGTTTTGTGGGAAACATGCAGCATGTTTTGATTTTACGGTAGCAAACTTTTCCTGGGCCCATGCATTCATAGATTTTCTCGTGCAGTCACAAAGTGGATTTGGGGAAGTTGAAAGCATGATGGGCTTGTCGTCAAGAACTAGTGAGGATCATGAGGATTTTTGGCGCGTGAAAGCATTTCTTGTGTTTCAGGTAAAAGGTGAAACTCTGCGAAATGAAAATGCACAGTCGTGCTCGCTTCTCACGTGGGTGCTTTAGAAGCATCTGCTGATTGGGTCAGTGAAGAGGGTTTTGAGCGAAGGGACTAGCATGCAGAGAGGATCCTCTAGGAAGGGGGATGGCAGGGAGGAGAGGTAGGGTTCACGAAGCTAAGCTCGCCACTGGCCGTGGTTTGGCGCAGCTGGAGAATGCCGAAATTTCATGCCACTGGCCGTGGTTTGGCGCAGCTGGAGAATGCCGAAATTTCATTCAAACAGTCAAACAATCACTTTGCAAAAAGTTTGACTTTTCACAACAAGTTGCACTTTTCGACATTGCGGCCAAAAAGTCAACAAGTTTTTGTTCGCAAAAAGTTGCACCTTTCGACTTTTCGACTTTCCGGGCAAGAAGTCAAACAGTTTTTTTTACTTTTCGTGTTTACTGGCGGTCTTTGTAAACAGTTCGCTTTTCGGCTTTTTGGGCAAACAGTGAACAAGTTTATTTTTTCGAAAAAAAGTCGCAATTTTCGACTTTTCGAGCAGTTTTCGCCAAGAGTTCACCGTTCGCAAAAAGTTACGCGGGGGCGACGCACACGCCATAGGGTCAAAGTCGTGAAGAGCGACGATGATCTCAATTTTTACGTATACTTCCATGTCTGCTACTGGCCCTGCGCCGGAAGCCAAAAGAATTGAAATGGGGCCTTACAGGGTTTGAGGCTCTCCATAATCCTGGAAAAGGTAATTGCCTGTTCCATACTATCTCCAAAGCGGCTGACTGGCCATGTTTAGAGCTAATTGGGATGGCAAGGAATCCAGGCGAGGACGAAAACTTGAGTCAGGGGATTGCGGGGAGTACTTGAGCATGCTTTCTAAGGAAGGCGCGTGGGGCGGCTACACTGAATTAGAAGTTTTGGCCGGCACTATGGAACAGGCCCAACCTCGGGATCAGGCTTTGTCCAGGCTTGTGTTCTGCTGGACTCAGAGCCCAAGAAATTTTCAAGAAGGGATGGACAGAAGGATTTGGGCTAGCTCCTGCCCTGGGGACCGGGCACCCGCGTTTTGCACTCAAGGTTTGGGTGGTTTTGCTTGATGGGTTAGCGGTTTTGTGGCTGGTCTAGGGTTGTTTGGTAGGGCTGGTAGGGAGTTGGTAGAATTCTATGCGAAGGAGGCAGGTGTCGATGAAAACAAGCGGAAGAGTCAGTACAGCAACTACATCGGCAAAAGCCTGTCCCCTTTCTGTGTTGTTGACTGCCAGGATGCGCGAACTAGATCGCAAATTCTCGATTATATGCGACAATCCCACAACAGCAAGG